CTGGCTAACCAACAAGTGTCGTAAGACCTTGTTAATCACAGCTCAGTGTCTTGTGATGAACCGATCTGTCTTGCTAAAACATCCACTAGCATCTGTGCAAAATGATGAGCAATTACAGCAGAAGGTCTTCGGGCTAAGAGTTTGCAATGTGAGTGCTACACAAACTAATTTATTTTGAAGTCTCCGATGTGACTAATCGCAATATCTAATGAAAATCATATAGCTCTTGGACAGAGTTGTGCTTATATTAGGTTTTCAAATACTAATTAAATTGTACTCCAAGTTAAGGAAGGAAGACATAAGATTTAGGATGCAGAAGCAACCCAAATTAAGGCAATGTGGATACTTCGGAGCAAGACATCTCTTTTCTCCATCTGCTGCTACTGTTACTGAAGTTCCCAAGATGTTAGGCAAACAACGCACGAGACACAAAGCAACATACAAGCTGGACATTAACAAACCAGATTAAAGCATCTCTAAATTAGCAATAACATAAACCCAAAGTCATCTAAAGTTCGACTTACTTGAAGGGAAATGGCTCATCTGGTGCTGTTTTTCTCATCTGGTTTTGTGGGTACAGGCTGAAGCAGCGATTTGGTGTTAAAATAAACCTAACTTTAGGGTTCTGTGTATCAGGATAGGAGTGCTGCAGCCACATGCTGTAACACAGTAGTCTGATACGAATTTACTCATAGGTTCAAATGCATTTAAGCTGTTTTGCCAGGTGAACTTCATGCTAGAAGGCTTCATGTGGCATCAGACGTCTGATTATGTCTGTTGTCCTGATGTAAAAGCAGCACAAACCTTCTATCAGGCAATTAATTCAAATCTGTACCATATACCCATTTCTGACCCAGACTGATTTTGTACTGGTGACATTCTGATCGCATGGGTACCTGCTGTTAACATCTAGAGCCAGATTTCACAGGTATCATTTTGCACTTGCCGCAGTTGTGAGCGGTCTGCGCAAACGTGCAGACAATACCGCCCTGCCATCTGGCAAGCTTACCAACACCCTTTTACCATGCTGCTTTTTTTCATGCCATCTTCTTGCCTGTTCCAAATGTGATATATACAAGAGATGGGGTCTGGGTTTGGGTTTTTTGTTTGTTTTTTACAGGTTTGTGTAGCATTATAGTCCTTGACTTTCAATGATTCCAGAGGGGGCCAATTTCAATGTTAGCACAGCTTCCTTTCGCTAAGCAAGAAATGGGCATCTTCAAACCTTTTGTAAGCAAGCAATCCCCTTTGTTCTGCTCAGTGAAGAAGTTGCTGCATGCAGGATAGTGAACTCTAAGCACTTTAATGTGCATCTCCACAGGCAGAAAAAATTTGGGCAGTATCGAAACCCAAAATACGTACTCTGCCTTCATGTGCTGATGAATGAATTTGATAAGGCTAACATGTAACTCATGCCCCAGTGCAATACAAACTCACATGAAGACGAAGCGTGCGGAAGCCAGAGTGTGACTAAGGCTTGAAGTGGAATGCATTTGATGGCTTCTATGGATTAGCAAGACAGAAACAGGACAGGACTGTGTCCAACAAAAAAGTGAAACATTTCCCACCTTCTGTTATTCTATCTAACCACCAATCTCCCCCCTGCAAAAAATGGCTTTTTTTAAGCAAAACCATATTTTGTGCAGATGTACTGATGGATCGCTCGAATACAAGGATTGCAGGGGTAAATAATTGCTTTCTGAAAGTCTTATTGAAAAGTTTTCTGATCCAACAACTATCAGGCCAATAAAGTGCTTCATGCAGAGTGTACACTTTCAGTGAGTTATAGCTTTGTTTTATGACCCCAAAGATGCTTATGGTATATTTCCTGATTTGATCCTAGCAACCTTCCCAAATGAATATTGTAAATATCACCCCAGAATATCCCCAATAATTTTCCTCAAACAAAAGGGGTAAACAAGTTCTTTTTTAAATAAAGGACAGTCTGTCCTAATAGGAATCATAAGACAGAACAGCCAGAATAAAGATATCTTAGGGATTCTGTTTTCCTCTTAACTCTTCTTACAGGCTGTTAAATATAACCCACCCCAAATAACCCAGAATTAAGGCAAGAGGTACATGGTGTACAGATATACCCAAAAGAAGACATTCATTCCAATATAAAATGAATAGCATTGTATTAACGTTTATTTCTAATTACAAGAAACAGAATATCAGTCCCTTATTTGTACAAAAATACCTGAAAGATTACAATTAGGTTCACGAGCCAAAAAGCTATTTACAGTATGAAGCAAAGCATATTGAATAAAGGTTTTGTCTCTTAAGTTAATACCTTTTGCATTCCCTGAAACTTTAAACTTTATTCCATTTTACAGTCACTAAATCTTGCATTGTGACAATATAATTTACGATAAGCAAGTCTTGCCACTGGAAAGGTGCATTGATTGGTCAAACTGTCAGGTATTTAGTGCAGAAAAGATAAGACAAAACATCTAAACTGAGGCACGTGTTTCTTCAAGATTAATTAACAAATAAAAAGTTTTTTGTACTTTAACACCTATCGTAACATAACTTAACTAGTAACCTCATTACCAAAATGGTTTGGCATTTTCCTTCTCAACATATTCAAGATTGCTACATGAAGTATTTATTTAGAAAATAAAATCACAGGCAAAAAGATAAAAATTCAACAGGCTCCAAAACAACCCTGAGCATCCCCTTTACATTCATGTCATTTAAATACAAAAATAAGAGTCAAATGTCCTTCAGTCCTTGGTATTCTGAGCTGGCAGCCAGCTGAATCTGTTGGAAAACTAAGGTGGTATTGACTGTTTTCCAGCAGAAAGAAGACAAAGCAGCCATCTGCTTAAGTAAGATTGTTGCCACTTTGAAGGTGGTCACTTTCTCAAAACAGCTCACCTTAGCTGGGAAAAGTACAAAATACTAAGTCAACCATCTACATACAAAAATCATGATTCATAGTCAAACTTTTATTCTCAATTTAAATAAGATGCAAGGTTTTTTTTTATAAATATGAAACACTGCAAATACTATCCGCCTACTGGGAAAAATGCATGGTTGTCACTAAGCTATGTAAACAGAAAAACTTAAAACTACAGCATAAATGGTCTTATTAACTGGTAATGTAGTCAATACAAGTATCTTTTTTCTCCTAATAGGGGCCAAATAGAAGCATGCAAAGTGAAGTCAGACTTAAGTTAGCTTAATTTCAAGGTTTTAAAATACATTGTCTAGAAAGCAGGAACACTCATTTCACTATGTACAATTAAAAAAAAAAAAACAAAAACAAAAACAAAACCCAAAAAGGCTTCTACTAAAACCAAAATCAAGTTTCTTCATTTTTAATATCTAGACATTAAATGGAAAAAAAAAATACTAAATGTGTTCTGTAAACTAAAATACAGTGTTTCTATACCATTGACATAGTTATAAGCTGATATGGACGACTCAGGCAGGTTATGGTTTGTCTTAAGCTATTCTCAACACTACATGAAGACCTAAAGGTGTAGGATTGGTTTTCCTTCTTTACCCTTTCAGATGGCTAGGATTTCAAACCCAGTGGCAAGTATTAGTAAGGATGAACTAGCCTGCGTAAATCATTTACCATCTTAAGAATGCTCTGTTCCGCACTATGCTCTGCAAGTTCCCAGGGTGGAATACTTCTCACTGTGGCTAACTGCGTGAAGCACTGGGAAGTTAATTCAGCAACAGTTCCTGCACCAACTGCGTTGCTGAAAGAATGGAATTTGCAACTGGAGGATCGAGGTGGGACTCATCTAACTTTAATACTGATTTCTCATCAGAAAGACTTATTGTGTAAACATTAAATAATTGATTTAAACATTAACAGTAAAGCAGTTCTGATGACAAACCAGCACCAGAGCAGGATACATGCTTGTCTGCCATAGGTACTGGCGTGCTTTAGCGTGTATGACACGGAGATCACCAGTTACCTCGATGGATGATATTGCCAGCCAGCTAGTTCACCATCAAATGTGCTTCCATTCCCAATATGTTCTTTCTCACCATGTAAACTTTCATGGCCCTACAGAAAGCAGAAGGGGTACAGTTCTTTTTATGCCCTATTCCCCAGGAGAGCTTTGTGTCACCGTAGCTTTATAACATGGAAAGAGCTCTTTGAAACAGTCTGAAAATTCAAGGAGCTATAAAGCTAAAAAACACTGTTTTGTTTTTTTATTTCGTCATACTAAGACTACCCGCTGAAGAATCTTCTCACAAAAAATGGTGGTTTCAAATACAAGTGTAGTCATTCAGTCCTATTCTATTTAGTAACAGTAGGTTTCCTCAGGAAAACAGTCAAAAGGCTGTAAAAAACAAACCACCACTCCAGTAATAAAAATTTGTGCATAGAATCTAATACAGTCTTTGCATGACTGGATGCCACTAATATGCCATCAACATACTACAGCCATAATGCTACAAGTCAACAGTTTTAAGAGTACGTATATGGTGGCCTGTTCTTTTAGAATTGTATCCTCATTGCTTCTTCAAAGACATCTGCAGATCATCGAACCTCAGGTCTCCAGAGAAGTTTTGAGACACACGCACGCGTGCGCGCACGCACACACACACACTTCCTGATTTTCTTCTAGATCCTTTTAGGCTGAAGCATTCCATACATTTTAGGGTGCAGATTAATACCCAACTCCTGCATGAATTTTAAAAGCCACATCAGCTCCTAATATAGGCTGCATACAACATCCGAAACAAAGTAGGAGTGCAAAAAAAGTGATCAATACAAAAAGTAAACACACTAGTCTTAATTGTCAAGATTATTCCAGGGCAAGAGTTCTTTTCAAAGATTTCTCTTCACACTTGTTCCTGTTAAGTGGCCCAGCCAAGACAGTTTCCAGTTTTGTTTCAAATTTACTCATGGTTTTACATACCCTCCCCCCATTTTTGGGATGCTGGGACACTCAGCAGCAATCACTCTTAGGTGTTAGACAAACCAGCAATCTTGGTCTGTTGGCACCTGTCGAATCCATCCCTTTCAGAGTCCCAAGGTGCATAATATTTTTATTTATTTTTGCCAACTTACAAATCTGCCAATTCCCCAGTGTCAACCTTCTCTTACAATTACTCTTCTAGCAAATCCAGTCTTCAGTGAGAGTCAGATTTGAGGTCATAAGGCCACTCGGATGCAGTGGTGTTTGAGTTTGCAGGGCAAGACTCCTTTGTTTAGTTGATAGAATTCAACAAGCTGGATTAGATCACTGAATTTGGTGTTCCCATCATCCAGGCTGAAAAATATCTGTCCATCATCTTCACACTGGGGAAACAAAATGTCCTTTTCCAGTTAGACTGCACATGAAGAGATGCCAAGTGTGGCAAAACAGAAAGAGTGCAAGTGTGTGACCTAAGATACGTGATGGGCACTGCCCAAACAACCTCGTGCCCAGAGATCTTCATGAAACCATGCACAGCACTAGAAAAGAGCACACGTTAACTCAACTTGAAATGTTTTGTTTATGAAAGTGAAAGCTCGTGGGCAGAATAACTGAAAGTTGTAGAGACAGCACTGGTCTTCATTACATAAAACAAAAATACCCCCAAAATATGTTAGCTGTTTGTAAAATTGGCAGGCAAAGCAAGAGAAGAGGGTTTGGACCAATAAAGAGGTCTGCATGATCTTAAAGTTCTGATGCTCTCTTGGATCAAGATAAAAATCAAGCAGGTTCTTGACATCTCAGTGCAATGTTATTTTAAGCTCGACGTTATTGGATAACCTCCAGAATTAAACTTTTAAAAGTTTTGCTAACTTACTCTATATTTGCCTAAGTAATAGGGAGACAACTGCCACTGTTGTTGCTGTCAGTCACAGAGAACAAGTTCTGTGCATTACTTCTACAGCTAAGTGACTTACACTACTTTTCCAGGCAATGTTAACAAAGAATTTTAATCAAACATTTGACAGTTCTAAAGAATACTTGCTAATATACTTGCTAATGGAAACATCCCTGTTAATTACATCACTAATTACTACGAGGTCTCTTCAGATGTTGGCAAAGCTTTATGCTTTAAAATTTCTTTCTTTGTGATCAGTATCAAAAATAATCTACTTACCGGCAAGATTTGAAAATGCTTTATTTTTTGGTGATGGCACAGCGTAAGTACAAATGCCTTTGGATTGCTTTGGCTGTCCCGGAGAAGAAATAGTCTAGGAGAGAACATTTTTAAGTACACACTGAATACCACAATCCGTTTCTTCATAGAATCATAGAATGCTTTGGGTTGGAAGGGGCCTTTAGAGGTCATCCAGCCCAACCCCCCTGCAGTGAGCAGGGACAGCTTTAACCAGATCAGGTTGCTCAGAGCCCCGTCCAACCTGACCTTGAATGTTGCCAGGGATGGGGCCTTTACCACCTCTCTTAGCAACCTGTTCCAGTGCTTCACCACCCTCATTGTAAAAAACTTCTTTCTAATGTCTAGTCTAAATCTATTCTTCTTTAGTTTAAATCCGTTATTCCTTGTCCTGTCACAACAGGACTTATCAAAAAGATTCTCCCCATCTTTCCTGTAGGCCCCCTTTAAGTATTGGAAGGTCGCAATAAGGTCTCCATAAATAATCAGAACTACAAAGTCATTTTGTGCTATTGCCTAACTCTTCTTTAGTTGCATTAACAGGCAATTCCATAACTGGCAATTTGCTTTCAGTTTTTACACCATGGCTATGCAACGCTAATAGATGAAGAAACAAAAGTGGAAGATACATG